ATGTATGTCTATTACCACCATGTCTTTTCAAGTTCCCACTGAACCTTTCTCAACCACAACCTCACATCCATCCACCACCTCTGCTACTGTTTTCCTCTTTCCGATTTTTCTGCCCAGTCTTCTCCCCTCTTTCTCTTTTGAACATTTATCCCTACCTTGCTCAGTTCACCTCCTATATTCACAATATTGATCTTACACAGTATTCATCCTTACATTTCTGAGTACTTCACTCAGAATAATGCTCTTAGACTCGCCCACATTATACAGTAGTTAATAAAGTCTTTATTCTCTAGTAGTGAATAGAATTCCATTGTATGGATACACAATTAACCTAGTTATTCCACTGCTATGAATATATCCCAAGAAAATCAGAAACGAGACACAAATGGAGGTACGTACATACAACAATGTTCACAGCAATGCTATTCACAATAGTGAGGAAAATGAGAAAAGCACAAATGCCCATAAACAAATAAATGGATTAAAATATTCTTTTAATTAGAATATTATCCCTAGGTAACACATTATGGCTCCAAGTACCAGATATTTGAAAAAGTGCTTAATTACCTTTCCCTGTGCAGAAATTATTCATAGAAGTTTGGTAAAATAACAAGCTTTTGGGTAAATTAGGATTTGATTATGAAAACTGTCATTAAATGAAGAGTATACTGTTTGTTCATGGGATGATATCATTTTATCAATACTATAAAAACAAGAAAGATCACTTCTGAGAGTGGGGCAGGAGGAAAAACGACAAGAGTAACTGGTCTTATCCCTATCTATTTATTAGTGGCTTTCTTAAAAGTTATGAACAAATATTGAAAGGTTGACTATTTACTAAGCACCAGGTTTTGTTTAGAGAGTAGAAAACTCAATCTCTGCCCACATCAATCAAAACAAGTACTAATGTTTTTAGAGCCTCCATAATCTACTCATATCCCCTACTCCCAAGTTAATTATCTTTTTTTCCCCCTTTAAAACCCATTTCTGTCTATTCCATCCTATCCATCTTCATGCCTATTACATTCATACTAGGTATTCAGGACTTACCCACCTTTTTACTCTACAACTACAAACTCATGTTCTTGTGTTTATAAACTCAGCAGAACCTTCTCAGGTGTTCTAACACATTAGCAACAACAACAAAGTAGCAATTCCTAGAAGAATATCTTCTTTTTCAAGATTCTTTTAAATTTTTTTTCTCAACAATTCTCAAGAGAACATAATCCTAGTAGATTCTAACTCATGGCAATCACATGCATTTTGGAGTGGAATGGGATTTCTTAGGGTTTTAAAGACTGTGGCTGGCTTTTCTGAAGCAAACGTCCAGGTCTTACGTAACAACCATTTGGAGAAAGTACAGTACAGAGGCTGGAGACTAAGGTGCGCCTAATCCGGGCTATAGTCTTTGCAGTTACGGGCTATACATCGGAGAGCAGGACAGTGAATAGGGATGTTAGAAAGAGAATTGATGCCTTTGAGTTGTGGTGCTGGAGGAGTGTGGAATATACCATGGACTGCTAGGAGAACAAACAGGTTTGTCCTGGAGAATGTTCTCTGGAGTCAAGGATTCGGAAGCTTCATCTGACATACTTTTGGGCAAGAAGGGACTGGTCCTTGGAGAGGGACATCATGTTTGGGAGAGTGGAGGGACGGCGCAGGAGAGGAAGACCCTCGAAGAAATGGATTGATTCTGTGAGTGGAGTGGTGGGAATGAATGTGTTTGAGACAGCGATGTTGGCACAGGATAGAACGGCATTTAGGGCTCTTGTACATAGGGTTGCTATGAGTTGCAAACGACTTGACGGCACATAACAACAAAAGCAACAACAGCCAGAGTTGTTTCTTGGAGGCAAAGCTGACAAAGCTTTGTCTCACAAATTCCGAGCATGTTGGTAGGGGGTGTTATTTCTTGGAGAGAGGCATCATATTTGGCAAGGTGAGTGGACAGCGAAAGAGAGGAAAACCCTCAACCAGATGGAATGACACAGTTACTGCTGGCATGGACAGCAAGTATTTTTGTCAAGTATGTCAGAGATGATGAGGATGGCACAAGATAGGCCAGGGTTCAGATCTGTTGTTGATAGGGTCACTATGAGTCATATTCGATGCAATGACACTTAACAACATGTAACATTCACTTTCCGAAACCAGCAACTTTCCAGTTAGCCTTGTACTTGGCTGTATGTACCACCCAAAACTCAAATTTCTCCAGTCTATTCCTACGCAGAGCAATCCTACATCGGTTTGTGAGGTTGTAGGTCATAACATAAGCCCATAATCTTCCTACAGAACCACTGTTAAATTTGAACTTCCAGAGAAGCAAAGCCTTTGAACTAGCAGAACTTGATCAAGGATTACAGTAGCAGAATGCTCTTCTGTTCTACCCAGGTATTCCACAATAGCATCTTAGCCAAGCAAAAGCTGAGAAAAATGGGAATTATGAAGTTAAAATAGTCAAAACAGGCCTGATGGGGAAAAGGTGGAAGAAGTGATGAAAGTCATCTGGGTAACATTTCAAACCCGAACACAGATAAGAGAAATAAAGCAGAGGCGAATTCTGAGTCAGGAAAAAGTAATGGATACGGAACACCTGATAGAGAAATGCTTCTGCCAGGAAGAGAACACAAATTTATTAAAGTAAGGAGCCCTCTTCAACTGAGAAAAAGGGGGTCAGCTGAATCAAACCTAAGACCCTTAGCGCTCACCAGAATCTAAAAGCTCCTGGACCAACAGAGTATCTCCAGTGGCCAATGCTTTCTTAAATATTTCATTCTTTTCTTCAGTAGGCAATGGTCCTGGTAACTTCTACAAAACAAATAAAAGTTCCAAAGAAATTCTTGTTATAGGTATTTATCCGATTTCACGGTATTTTAAAAGCATATGGCTTTTTAAAAATTATTCTAACATATAAAGTTTGTAAAGAATTTACATTTTAGGGGACTTCTGCAGGAACTGGGGGAAGATGGGTCCAAACCACATGGAAGGGCTTCATGGGGACTTAACCTCGCCCTCTCTGGCCAAGCGAGGCCAGGAAACACCAGCTCCACCCTCCCATTGACCAACTCAGCAATGGACCAGGTCAGACTAGGGGTTCCAACCACAGTTCAGAAACCTGAGGGCTTCAAATCCACCAGATGCTCTGCTGGAGAAGGAGGGGGCAATCTCCTCCTGTACCAGTCAGATCTGATTTGACGGTACACATAAAAATAATACAATAAAAATTTTTTTAAAAAAAGAAGAAGAAATCTGAGGGCAATTCTGCCTGTTTGCCGGGTTCAGATCCCTGTTACTTCCACTGGAAAATGGTTTGGATAAACAAGGTTGAAAGGAAGACGTGTCACTTGGGCCTCTCCTTGGAGAGTCAAGAGAGACCGCCAGCACCAGGCGTGGCCAGGAGGCGCTGCCTGCAGTACCCGAGATCTCCGGTCCAGAGAGCCAATCTCCCAGCCGTCATCCTCGCTCTCGCTGCTCTCGCCTCCTCCGGCCACGGGCAGACCCCACACCGCGCCCGCCGCCATGCCTGTCGGCCGCCCCCTAGCACATTGCACGGCGTCGCACCGCACAGCGTCGCACCGCACGACGCCAGCGCTCTGCGCCTGCGCACGAGCGACTGCGTGCTGCGTGGGAAGACGTGCTGCGTGGGAAGACGTGCTGCGTGGGAAGACGTGCTGCGTGGGGAGTGCGTGCTGCGTGGGAAGACGTGCTGCATGGGAAGGCGCGACGTACCTGCGCGGCCCTTGATCCCTCCTGCGCAGGCGCATGGTTGGGTCCCTACGCCGCGCCGGGCGCGACTCTGTCTTTCTGCATAAACCACCGGGCTCACTTAGGTGTACGCTGGGCGTGGCAGGTGAAGAATGTACTTCGTTTTGACCGAACCTTCCAAGTAATTCCAGCCATTTATTTGCTCAAGAAAGTTCTTTTTCTGCAAGAAGTGATCTGCTGGTAGAAAACAGAATTTCTTTCTTTTTTTTTTTTTTAACATGCTCACATTCATGTTTATTGAAGCATTATTTGCAATAGCAAAGAACTGGAAACAACCCAAGTATATCTCAATGAACAAATGCATGAAGAAATGCAGTGTGCGGATGAGATGATAGAAAACCCTAAGCAGGAAATTATCAAAAATTAGGGAAAAAAATAAATGGAATAGAAACCATAAAAACAATTTATTTTTTAATTTCCATTCATTCATTGTTGCTCTTTTCTCCTCTCCCAACCCTCCCCCCTAGTACACTACCCTCTTGGAAAAGTAAAAGAAAAATTCTTTCATTGTTTTACAAATCCTCCCCCAGGTCCACTCCACCATGTAGCCTTCCCTCTAGACTCGTCATGACAAAAATACCTAATCACATATCGCTTTTAAACAGTTTTCTCCCTCATCTGTTTCAATGCAGTATACATTATTGAACCTATCTTTCTTTTTATCTTTTCTCACAGCCCTCAATGAAACTTTTCACCATGAAGAGGACCTCCTGTTGACCTAAACGCATGTTTAAAGATACATAGTCAAGCACATTCAAGATGGTATCAGACAAATGAGAACAAACAAGGCTAAAACTCACGACCATTTAGTGGATTCAGACAGAGTAGAACTGTCCTGTAGGGTCTCCTCATATGATCTTTAAATTCTGATGGGATAGACTCAAGCTTGTATTTTGGGTCTCATGGACTTGTTTAAATTTTCTTCAGCTTCAGTTTGAACTACCCATGAATAATTGATTGTCTCACAGTCAGCCCCAGTCTGGTTTTGACTGCTGATACTGAACTTCTCCAAACCATTTCTTCCACAGATAGTGGTGTTATGTGCCGTCGAGTCACCTGCGACTCATAGCAGCCCTATTTAAGATATATTCAAGCATATTCAAGATGACATCAGACAAATGAGAACCAACAAGCCAGAATCAAACCCACTGCCGTCTGGATTCAGACAGAGTAGAACTGTCCTGTACTTGAGAGCTCTAATCTCTGCTCTATCCTGTGCCAATGTTAATATCTCTGACATACCTACCCCTATTACCCCAGTCACTGAATCAATCCATCTCATTGAGGGGTTTCCTCTCTTGCGCTGTCCCTCCACTGTCCCAAGCATGACGTCCCTCTCCAAGGACTGGTCCTGCCTTGTAACATGTCCAAAGTATGTCAGGCAAAGCTCCAGAATCCTTGCCTCCAAGGAACAGCCCGGTTTCACCCTCTCCAGGACAAACCTGTTTGTTGTCCTAGCAGTCCATGTATTCACTACTCTTTTCCAGCACAACAGCTCAGAGGCATCAATTCTCCTTCTATCATCCCTAGTCATTGTCAGCTTTCTGAAGCATAGCAAGTAATTGCAAAGACCATGGCCTGTATCAGGCAAACCTTAGTCTCCAGACTGACATCATTGCTCTTCAGTACTTTGGAGAGGTCTCTGACACCCGACTTTCCTAACACAATTCATCTTTTAAGTTCCTAGCTGCTGATACCAAGACTGTTGGTTGTGGAGCCAATCAAACTAAAGCTATTAACAATCTCAATCTCTATCATGATGCTGCCAATCAGCCCAGTGGTGAGAATCTTTGTTTTCTTGATGTTGATCTTCAATTCATATTGAAGGCTGTAGTCCTTGACCTTCTGCAGCAAGCACTTCAGGTCCATCTGATTTCAACAAAGAGTTTGTCATCTGCATAATGCAGATTGTTGATGAGTCTTCCTCCAATCCACAGATGTAGTCAGTCTTATTCCTATGCAGTCCATCTGTTGAGGTCCAATTGTGAAGCTGTCTTTTGTGTTTTATTTTTTTAAAGGTATTTTTGATGAGTAAATCATCAAATGTACAAAATTTGATCATTCTATTTCCAGCCTCATTTTTGTCATCAAGTCTTTGTTTTCCAACTGCTCTTCCGTCTTCGTTGTTTCCAACTTCTGCATTCCAGTTATCATTACTGCATCTTCAGTGCATGCTTCATCAATTTTGGACTACAAAATTTGATACAAATCTTCTAGTTCCTCCTCTTTGGCTTTAGCTGTAGAAGCATATATTTGAATAATAGTCATATTTACAGGTATTCCCTGTATGCATCTGGATACTTTCCTATCACTCACAACATTGTATTTCAGGGTAGAACTTGAAATTGCCAGGAAATTTGGAGGAGAGCTACCTGGAGAGAACACTTTGTTACTATTCCCAAGAAAGGTGATTCAACAGAATGGGGAAATTATAGAATATAATTTTTCTCATATGCAAGCAAAATACTGCTGAGGATCATTCAAAAGGGGCTATAACAGTGCATAAAACTGCCAAATGTTCAATTTGGATTTAGAAGAGGCTGTGGCACTAGGGATATCACTGCTGATGTCAGATGGATCCTGACTGAGAGTAAAGAATACCAGAAAGGTGTTAACTTGTGTGTCATTGACTATGCAAAGGCAATTGACTGTGTGGACCATAACAAATTGTGGCTAACATTGAGAAGAATGGGAATTCTAGAACACGTGAATGTGCTTATGTAAAACCTATACCCAAACCAAGAGGCTATTGTGTGAGCAGAGCAAGGAAACACTGCATGGTTTAAAATTAGGAAAGACGTGCATCAGGGTTGTATGCTTCCTGCATATCTATTTAATCTGTAGGCTGAGTGATGTTTTTGAGAAGCTGAACTCTATGAAGAGAAATGTGGCATCAATATTGGAGGAAGACTCATCAATTACCTGTGTTAAGCAGATGATACAACCTTGCTTGCTGAAAGTGAGGAGGACTTAAAGCACTTGCTGAAGAAGGTTAAACTGCATTCTTTAATAAGGATTACATCTCAACATAAAGAAAACAAAAATCCTTGCCACTGGACCAAGAGGCAACATTATGATGGATGAATAAAGGATTGAGGCTGTCAGCTACTTCATCTTACATCCACAATCAATACACTTAGTACCAACAGTGAGATCAGGAGCTATATTGAACTGAGAAAGTCTGTAGTCAGGGATCTCTTTCAATTACTGAGGAGCAGTGATGTCTGGTTGAGGACTAATGTGTGCCTGATTCAGGCCTTTTCAGTCTTTTGCTATGCAGCTGAGAGCTGGACAATGAATAAGGATGACTGAAGAACTGATGTCTTTGAATTGTGATGCTGGGAAAGAATGCTGAAGGTCCCATGGACTGTCAAAGAACAAAAAGGTATGTCTTGTAGAAAGTGCCTCTAGAGTACACCTTGGAGGTAAAGATGGTGAAGCTTCATCTCACGTACTTGGGGCATGTTGCAAAGAGAAGTTATTTCTTGGAGAGAGACATCATGCTTGGGAAGGCAGAGAGACAGCAAAGAAGAGGAAAACCCTCAACCAAGTAAGTTGACACCAGAACTGCAACAATGGACTTGAGTGTGTCAGAGATTGTGAGGACGGCATAGGATAGGACAGGGTTCACAGGGATTCTGTGTGTCACACTTGATGGTACCTAACAACAACATAGGGTATCCAAGGTGGTAAATATTTCTAAGAAGCTGGCTGCCTCATCTTTCTTGAAAGGACTGGTATGAGTTTAAATTCATTTTTGTTAGTTGTCATTTGTTTTAACCATGTGGTACCAGCACCTGGGAATCAAACAAGGGACCAGGAGAAAACAGCATCCCAAAGAACTTTTGCTTTCAGATCTTAATTTACGTTTAGAAACCAGCCTATCAAAACCTAGACTTCCTTCTAGATAGAGTGGATAAGAAATAAAGGAGAAAGTTAGCCATGAAAGGGCCAAATTGGGCTGTCCCTTTAGGAATGTTCATAGCAGCATTATGCATAATAACAGAAAACAAGAAACAGCTCATGTTGCTATTAGCTGATGGGTGGCTACCAAAGTGTGGCACACTGCATCCATAATTCATTATGTTTCAATGTTGATCATGTTATACCATGTATCAGTACTTCATTCCTTTATATGCTGAGTGATGCTTAATAGCAATTTCTGAGGATAAATAATTTCAGGAACTGGCAAGATCCATTAAAAAGCTACTGTGATTGTGAACCAAAGAAATAGTATTCAAAATAGAGATGCTCTAACTTGTGCAGCCTATTAACAAACGTAACACTGTTTGGACAGAGTATCTTTGTTTATAAAATTTTTATTTTATACTGGTTTACTTACAAAGTTTCATTGTTTTTCACGCCATATCTTTCCCCTTGGAAATAGTATCTCTGAAGATGTTATCAATTAAACAAACATAATATCACACTGAAGTAGGGGGAAACTCCCTCATTTCTGTAGCACTTACCTAACTCTTAGAAACCTTCCACTGGGTTTTTCCTTACTATGCGTGTAAGAGAAGGAGAATGCCTGTCTTTCTCACAGGAAACCATTGGTGAATTCCAGCTTCTAGAGACTCTTGGCCTTTGGGTTAACAATGTAACTTATTATAGATATACTGACAGTTTCTTACATACTAGACTAGTTTGTTGTTATTACCGTGTGTTGTCAAGTGGGAACTGACCCATTACTGGCCCTCCAGCTGCTTTTCAGAGGTAGTAAGTTGCAGAGGAAGATATTGATCATCCTTCTTCC